ATATATATATATATATATATATATATATATATATATATATATATATATAAATTGTGTGGTTCTTTTTCATAGGTGAGCTCATCAAGTGGCTACTTTAGACTTTTAATATTCAAGTTGCTTAATAGTGGCCCCAAAAGTTATACAAAATATTTTTGGTAATATATGATACGAAATATTTTAAATTCCATACCATAATACAATGTTTTTCTTCATTACGGAATGTATCCACTTTCTTTAATTTACACCTAATTATTAATCAAAGTGCATGTGTACAGAGGCAGAGTCAGAATTTTTAATCAGGTAATTTAAAATTTGTAGAAATATATAGCCGAATGGGGTTAACATTTACTATATATACATATAAATTTATTTTAACCATATATAAATAATATAGTTTTCCGCCCCTTCATTAAGGGTAGCTCCGCCCCTGCATGTGTATCATAAAAATTGTCGTATATAGTGATAAGAGCATAACGCATGATTAGAGGTGAAATTAAATATTATATTTACTAAGAGGATATAAACTAAACATATGAAGGAGTCAAGAAGATTAGTGGAGGCATATTTTAGTATTTACAAGTCAATTTTTAGAAATTGTGCGATTTCTTTTGTTCTTAATTTGTATTAGCTTATGAATTCGATGCTTTGGGATATTCCTATTTTTTTTCTTTTTGAAAAAAGCTTTAGGGAGATCCCCATAATGAATTGAGAGAGCATTACGTACACTTCTGTCATTTAAGTCATAATTTTTGTATTTAAAAGTTAACTTTAAAGTTATGCGACTTTCTTAGTTTTTCATGTGTATATATTAACAGATGAATTTGGCGCCTTAAGGAAACCCAATTTTTTTTTCTAAGAAAACTTTATGAGAACATCTGTAATGAGTTGGGGGAGCATTGTGTATGCTCTTATCATTTTTAAGACATATTTTTAAATGGGTAATTTTCAGATATAGCAAATAAAAAATTCATATTTGTATGTTATAACAAAGTTTGCATAGTTGCGCTCCATAGCAAACATAGAAACTGTATAATTCGCTATACATATACAGTTGAAGCAAATTGCATAAAACAAAGTGTATAAAACAAGAAAGAGAAAGACACTTGGACAGAGAACTGTATAAAAGCGAAGGGTATAAAACGAATTGTATTATTATAAGTGTATAGAACGATTATATACAATTTGAATTTGTATAAAATGAGAAAGAGAGAAAGACAAAAGAGACTAGACAAGGAATATACAATTGATTCGAATTGTATAAAACGAGAAAGAGAGAAATTAGATACAATTTGAAAATTGTATAAAACGAGAAAGAGAGAATGACAAAAGAAACTGTGCAGGGGAGTATTTTTATTGTATAATTATTAGTGTATACGACGAAAATATATGTACTTGCATATGTATATATAATTGTCTCACGCTTTATACAAACGGAAACGCAATTTATACATTTCGCTTCTGTTTGTATAAGTGAGAAAGGCGAGGGCGGCGAGGCGAGCGAGATCTAGAAGAGGGGAGAGAGGAGAACAAAAATATATGTATTTATATAATTTTTCTTTGCTTTATACAATTAGAAACAATTTGTATACACTTGTGTTTGTATAAAAAGTGAGGAAGCGAGCGAGAGATTGGAGGAGAGCGGCGAGCGAGATATTTGGGAGAGAGGTGCCTGACAATTTTTTTGCAAACATTTACTATGGAGCACAATTAAATCAAATCATAGCTACTCCATTTATTTTAGGTTATTAGTTTGCTATTATATGTAATTTTTCCTTTTTAAATTTTACGAATCAACTTTTAGAAACCTTACAACTTTCTTGGCTTTTTTCGTGTGTATTAACTCATGAATTTGGCGCCTTGGAAAACGACAAAAGTTTTTTTGAAAATTTTTTATGAGGACATCCATAATGAGTAGGGGTAGCATTGTGTATACTACTATTATTTTTAAGGGATATTTTTAAATTTTCGAACCAACTTTTAGGAACTATACTACTTTTCATGGCCTTTCGTGCGTATTAGCACACAAATTTGGGGCCTTGAGAAACGCCAAAAGTTTTTCTGGAAAAACTTTATGAGGATATCCGTAGTAAGTTGGGGGAGCCTTATGTGTACTCCCAGTAATTTTCGAAGGCATATTTTTGCTATTACGAGCCACACTTTTAGAAATTAAACTATTTTCTTGATTTTTCATGTATATTAGCTTATTAATTTGGTGTCCCACTCAAAAATTTGTCTGCAAAAAATTTATGAAAAAATGATAGAAATATACATAATATTTAATTCTATATGAGTTAAATTAAATATTATCACATTATTAATTTAAATAAAAGGAAAAACAAATAAACAAAGAAGAAACAAAAATAGTACCTAATAAAGAATCGTAGCTAGTCAACTTTATCTACGTTGAATTTGAAAAAATATATAAAATATTTTCTTAAAGAAATTAGTAAAATTATTTTTTATTTATAATTTTTTTTCTAAAAATAAATAACTAATATGGAACTAGAAAAAGTAATTTAAGTTGAAATCAGTGAAAAAGAGAACTTATTAATTGGTGAAAGTCTAATCTGTTTCCCACTAACAATATTTTTTTTTTCATTTATATGTTTTTTTTGCTTTAGTGCTGCCCATTTTATTTATGTTAATTAAAAAAAATTAAGGGGGTGATTAATCAGATTTTATGTCATGTGTCTATTAATTAATTAATTAACACATAAGAGCACTTAATTATCACCGTCATTAGTGACCACTTACCACGAATATTCTTTCATTAGGTCAAGCTTTGCTTATCAATGATAGAGATGTTTATTTAGAAGGGTCAAAAATATCGTCGGACTATCTGAAAACGTTAGGAGAAATCATCTAATTATATAAATATTTCTATCGTATTTTATTGGTTCTCCAATAGTTTGAAATATTTACATATTATATCATTAATTAATAAATTTATAACAAATTGCAAGTCATACACTTAGATATATGTTTTTATACTACTATATACATTGAAATAGCAAGGGAAGCAAGTGAGAGCGGGAGGGAGGCGAGCAACCCAAATACGTGTGAATCACGCGTGTGAATGTATCTGGTATGATTCGCATGTATCTAAGGCATCGTATATATAGGACAGTGGCGAGGGAAGCGAGGTGGGTTTATCTGTGTACATATGAATCTACTTGGATATAGTGTATCTAAAACAAATTACAATTAATTTTGACTTAATGTATCTTGAGATACGCGTATCTAGATGTATCTGAAGGCCCTAAAACAAAGTAAGATTCGTAATATTACAAACTAAGATGTATCTAAGTAATTAGCTCCTAAACTAGTGAGATTTCTGTGAGTTACGCTTAAATATAACATTTATTCACCTTCGGCTACAAATGTTCCTTGCCTCATTTATTTTTTGTTCACCTCTACCCTTAAAACTAAAGGAAAATGAATACTTGTACCCCAAAAAGATAAACTATTTATACGCGGCTATCCCCTTACTTTTATATCCCTTGTTTTTAACTATTAATTCACGTTTACCACTTGATATCATCAAAGTATATATATACTCTTAGAAAGATAACATCAAGAAGAAAGAGATAGTGTTAAATAAAAAGACTGTTCAATTACTGCTTGATACTATCAAAGTATATATATATATACACATACATATCATTAGAGTAAATTTATATACTCCAGTGGTATCAATAATATTTCAGTTAATAAAACAAGGGTAGATACATTAGGTCGGGTTAAATTTAGATAAATACTTTGCTTAATGGGTCTAATTTCTATATTTTCCCTAAAAATGTCAAACTTTTCTTAAATTAATTTTATTATTATTTAACTTTTATAATAATATAGTTATTGTTTAACTTTTTTGAGTGAGCACATTCACAACATTTGAATATAGCAAACGTGTGTTTACCCCACTACTTGATTAATAAAATGAGAAAAAGTAATATCATAGTGAAATTTAAATTAATAAAACATTGACATGAACGTACCATATTTGATTCACTTTATTACATAACTAATTTTGAAAATTGACAAGTTTCTAGGACCAGAAGCACAAACTCAAAGGAATTCACAAAGGGGAAATCAACAATAACTACGTCTCGAAGTTAGAATCGTCCATATGAATCCTCATTTCTTTCATTTAATCGGACAAATACGACTATAAAAGTGCGCGGCATGGCACATCTACAACACTGTGCACTGTCATAGAATTTGAACAAAAAGAATCTGATTCTAAATATAAAAGTAGGTTGGTGTAGGTTACATCATCCAGGCTGAAGAATGATCAATCTTGTCTAGTGATATCTATCCAAGAACTTCTCTATCAAGACCGAAAATGTCGCGAAGCCGGCACAACCCATACACGCAGCTTGTGGTCCACCTGAAACGAAATTAGATTGTGCTATAAACCCATTGTAATCCCACAAGTGGAGTCTGGAGAGCGTAGAGTGTACGCAGACCTTACCCCCTACCTTGGGAGTTAGATTGCTTGTTTCCGATAGATTCTCAGCTCAAGGAAAAGCATATCAAAGAAAGAAATAACGGAAGTGGAGAAATAAGGGAAAATTACTAAGAACAAAAAAGAGCGATAATTGAAGTACAAGAGACAGTAAGTAAATAGTAACAGAAACTGAAGGACAAGAAAGTAAAGGAGAAATACTATGACTACCAGTACGGAAGGATAAGCAAGACAACGCTCTACTACCTACTCACCTCTACCCTAATCTGCGGCAAACAACAACCTCCTACCTAAGTTCATGTACGTTATGAACTATTCCACCCGTGGCAACTTAAATGTCTTTTGCAAGCTTTATGAATCAGATAGTCCGTCATGTATTCCCCGAAAATATTCATGTCTGAATCTTATTGCAAGTATTTGACTACAAACTATAGTTGTGTAGTTCTATAGCTAAGAATCTGGAGAGTTCAGGATATTATTGTGCAGATTTATTATCATGAGTTATGCCTAAGTAAAATCATTTTTTCTACTTCTCTTTTGGATTTTACACAAAGTTCCTATTCCAACAAACTTTTTGCAGTTAATAAAATTAAACTTTTGCTTGTTAATTTTTTCAAATATTTTGAAACCCCTGATTCTTCACTGTTTTCTTCTTCCTCTACTTGGGTTTGATACACTTGAGTCAAGGATCTTTCAGAAACAACCTCTCTATCTCCACGAGGTAGTTATAAGGTCTACGTTCTCTCTACCTTCCTAAAACCCCGCTTAGTGAGATTTCATTGGGTAAGTTGTTGTTTTTTAAGACCTGATTAGTAAAGCACCCCACCCTGCATGTTCACCTTATAAACACAGCTTGGGACAAAGTATTGCGGTCCAATCTTTTCAAGTAACACTCGACCAAAAAAAAAGAAAGGAAAAGCACTGAGAAAGAACAGGTGAATTCTACATGATGAGTTACACCCTGACTTCAAGCTCAGTTCCATTCTGCTATTTGAAATCTGAGAGAGCCACAGTTTTCAACCAATGAACTCGTCTTGCCTTATCTACCACATCGATCCATATGAATTTAGTTAAGAATAAGAATCTGCTCTTCTCTATATGAATCTCAAATTACATGTCTCTATCTAGACCAAACATACAACAATCACGTAACATATGAAAGTATATCTAGTAAAGAACCTTAGTACACATTTTTGCATGATCAAGGTAACAAATTTTACCTCTAGCTGATAACGCACCACCTGTTACGCACCCTGCAACTGCTGTATTTGTAATGTCATGCTTTGCCCGTACCTTTAAACATAGGACAAAGAAAACAGTTACTTTTGAGTTTTAGAATATTTCAGAAGTATCCGATTCTAATAGAGAGAACGATTTCCAACTTTATTTTATTGGTTCGAAAAGTGAACAGAAAAATTGTAAAATGACAATTGCAGAATACCACAAGGTCATCATCTATGAGGATCAAAAGTACCTTCTCAACGGTACACTCAGCAGCAGAGAAAACCAAACCCATAACAGCAAAAGTCTTGCAAGAACTCCAACTCCTTCGACCCATCTGCTTTGCTTGAAATACAATTTGTTGCCTAGTAGTCATTTCCTCTTGCATTATTGGGTTATCCAGTGCCCCGAGAAACATACCCATGAACAAACCAAGTCCCCCTCCTACAAAACTAAAAAATGCATCACTAGAATCTCGATGAACCCCAGAAGTAACCTCACAGCAAAGTCCATAAATATCGACAAAAGATATCAAGTTAAGCAGAAAAAATTATCCAATTAGATACAGATTCATTCACAAACAATGAAAGTTGATACTTGATAGAGCTTGTAAGCTAACTTAAACAAGCTCACACATTCCCAACTCCAACTCCACAAGTACAAGAGAATAACAGTCATAGCAACGGAATTAAGTCCATAAAAAAAACTCTTGGATTACCTCTTGTCACTTGTAACATTATTATGACATCAAGGCATTGCAAGAATTGACATTTTGGACATAATATCCGTAAAATAAACACAAAACAACACGACACAAAAATTCAATCAACTAGGAGATCCTTGTGATTAAAGCATACCCATGACTCCGCTAACAACACTACGAACTGCACAGTTGTTCCAAATGTCTTGGCCCCTTATTTCCTCCACAGTAGGCATCCGAATAGGCTCAATCTGAGGCTTCTTAGCTTCTTGCGAGCTTGAATGAGCATCATTTGATTCAGTTGCTGGATCACTCATAACAGCTTTGATAAAATAAATCAGTAATTAGTTCAAGAGAAATAGATTGAGTCACATTCAGAATTTCTCCTCCCAAGAGCTGGGAATTAAACTCCCTGAAGTTGCAACTTATTTAACTGCAATTAAATAAATATCAGCATCAATAAGTAAGTTATGAATCTTTCACTCTTACAATTTAGTTAAAAGTTCCAGGTTTCAATGGTTCAAACTACAACCATATTGAAAAGCCGAGGTGTGACTAACAACGAGAATATAAACAATATAAATGGTGGAAATGGCTCTGAGATCTAACAACAACAAGAAAAATAACAAAATATTGAAAGTAGGTTACACAAAGCTAGAACCCTTCCCAAAACCTCACTTGTAGAATTATACTAAGCATGTTATTGTTATAATAACTTATGTGCTATTATGGATTCTTGAAACGAAAATCACTTTTATCAAACTTGAATTCCAAAGGGCAAAACTTAAAATTCTAATGGATTATTAGAATAGAGAG